CTTTGATCTAAAGGAGGCATTTTGATATTTGATGGCACAATGAGTTGGCCATCTTTGACAAGTAAATCAAAAATCTCGTCACACTTGGTTACATCGAAGGTATAAACCTTCTTTGGGAATTTGTCACTTTTCTCATTTTCAACAATTTCTTTCCCTTTTGTGGGAACTAATAACTTACAAGAGTAAGGTGGAGCTTGTTTTAATTCAGCGAGATCAATTTCGACCTCTTCGAATTCAGGGTAATCTTCTGCTTCCTCGGATCCAACATAGGAGACCCTTTCTTTCTTGTTATTTTTAAAAACTCTGGCCTTTTCGGCCTTTAGCCTTTCGACCTGTCGAACCCTATCGGCTAATTGAGCCATATCCCTCAAGTATTGTGTGTCTAATTTCTTTCGAATAGAGTCATCCAGGCTGCCAGAAGCCATTTCGACTAACTCATGTTCAGGAACTACTGTAAAGCATCTAGATTTCAAGAGCCTGAATCTATTCAGATAATCATCTATGGGTTCAGTAAACTTCCTCTTGACACTGGCTAGTTCCTTCAGACTTATTTTAGATTGTCCCATGTAGAACTGTTCATGGAATAATCTCTCCAACAGAGCCTAAGTATCTATGGATCCAGGAGGTAAAGTGGTGAACCATGTGAAAGCGTTCTTAGTTAGGGAACTTGGGAAATATTTGATCCTAAGGTCTTCATTATTCGCTATATCTCCTGCTTCGGTTAGATACCTGGCTATGTGTTCGACTGTTGATTCATTGGTATCCCCAACAAACTTTGTAAACTTAGGGACTTTATATCCCCTTGGTAAATCAGTATGCATTATGTAATCTAATATAGGAGAGGCATAATTTGGCCTTCTAATTCCTGTGTTGAGGCCATTCTGGGCCATGATTCTCTCTATCATGGTGGTTAAATTATTTTCGGCCAAGATGTTATCGTTTCAAATTCTGTGAACAACTGCATCAGCATCTTGATTTCGACCCACCATGACAACTTCTCTAGGCTGTTCTTCTCGAAACTCTGGGACTTCTAGCCTTTCGATCCTTGCCCCTGGTTCCATAATCTCCCTTTGTGGGCCTTGAATCATTGGGGCTTCTAATCTTTGTGCCCTTGCCTCCAAATTAACCCCCTCTCTGGCTGGTCTATAGGGTGGGTCCTCAGCAACTTGTTCTATGATAGGTACGTTTGCTCGAACTCCCGCCTGATTCTTCCTACGCCTTTCTGGGGGGGCGAAAAAATATGCTATTCGACTCATGTTATCCGCGTTTTCTCTGTTTGTCACAGTTACATTTTGTACTATTGGGGCAAAAATCTCCTGCATAGTTTGTGCTAATACTCCTATCATATTATGGTTACTGTCATCCATTAATTGCCTAAAGGCCAACTGATTTTCTGTGGTTAAGATAGGCATTGCACTATAACCCACTGATCCTTGGTTATTTGTCATAAATTGATTTGCCCCAGACCCAGATCCTAATTGTGGTGACGTATTCGATGTCGAAGTGTGCATACCCGCCATAAAAGATGTTGGCATCCCATAAGAGGAATTTATGTGTCTGTTAGCATCGAACCCGGGTGGTCTAGTTAGTGGGGTGGCGAAATGGGTTTGTGTCCCTGATGGTGGGACGAATCCCCCAGGATAACCAATGGTTCCAGTATTTCCTAGGATCGAACTGTTAGTTGACATGCCACTTGTTCCATTAGTGGCTACACTACTGGTAGAAGATGCAACAAATTGTGCGTTCGAAGGGATCGCATTAGATGTTCCCATCGAAGCGGACATATTAGTGCCTGTTGTATGTGGGATATTTTGTTCTCCTTGTTGATTGTCTGGATTAGACATCTTGTTTAAACGTTTTCTTCTGGGTAAGGGTTGGTTGCTATTGGTTATTCTACCACTTCTAAGGTTCATATAACAACGAACTTATCACTCAGAAAGTACTTTTACAATGGTTATGTCTCAACAATTTTTACTTTGTTCTAAATTTCGTGATGACCAATGATCGTCCCACCGGGTGTGCCAATTTGTTTACAGTTATTTCTGGTAAACAACCGCTAGTCCTCTAAACTATCAAATAATCTTAATGATTGTTATTTAATCTCTCTGGTAACTTGCAGGATCGACTAGATTGATCCTATGGTGTATTGGTCGTTTGGATAATTCTCATTGTAGAACTGATATTCATGGTTGGTATTTAGAATGTTGTGTAGGTGTTCAACTTACTTCGATTACCATATTAAAGATCTAATGACATGATCAAGTAAATACGTGCGAAACTAAATTGCATGAATAAAGGTTCAATTGTAAAGATATGTAAAACTTGCAAGAAACAAGTAAATAACTTTGAAGTATAAAGGCATGTAATGTAAAAGAGTTTCTGGAATGTAAAAGATTCGAAATAGAAAGAAAGCGTTTAAATGCAAGAAATCAGTAAAATGACTTTGGATGAAAAGGTATTCGAATGATAAAAGCATGAAGATAACAACATAAAAGGTATAAGAATTTCTGAAATGTAAAGTACTCGGAATAAAAAGAAAGCGTTTAAATGCAAGAAATTAGTAGATGACGTTGAATGAAAAAGATTTTAATGTAAAGGCTTTTGAATGATATTGACATAAAGATAGAGGATAAACTGGAAATGATAAAGAGTTTTATTGAATTATAAATATTTGGTGTTATCATACGTACATTGTTCGAGCATTCGTTTCCCTAGCCATGTGGTATTTTGAATGTTTACTGAATTTTGTACAATAGATATGACACACGAAATCCTAACGCTAAGACTTCTATTTATACTACTTCGACCATAACGGTCTTGCCTATAAGATTCTGCCACGTTCAGAACATGAAAAGCAATGCCCCTCTCTAGCTTCCACGCGTCTTCGAATGCTCCAGCGCATATATTTTAAATTTCGAACATCCCGCTTGCGTTTGAATTTCAAATGTTTTGGCACTCTTCGTTTCGAACTCATTTCTTGGACACAACCTTGTTACCACTTCGAGACTTCTTTTGAATATATCCCCATAACTGTCACTCGAAGCTCCGAGCTTTGACATGCCCATTCGAAGCACTGCTTCTATCATTTCGAAACATGACATCTTGCTTTATTCCAACGAAACATCCAACTTGCTTCGCTTCGAACAGTATCATCAAAATCTTCAGCCAACACTACTCCAAACAGATGCTGAAGGAATCTTGGATGATTACTACCTCAGCAGAATGATGAAGGAATCTTGGACGACTACTACCTCAACAGGATGATGAAGGAATCTTGGACGACTACTACCTCAGCAGGATGATGAAGGAATCTTGGATGATTACCACCTCAGCAGGATGATGAAGGAGTCTTGGACGATTACTACCTCAGCAGGATGATGAAGGAATCTTTGGGCGATTACTATCTTTATATGCATATTCTAATATCTTTCTTAGATTGATTGAATCAACCAAATAAAATAGGGGATTTTCCACGAGGTTTTCTTGAATCATAAGAATTGATCAGGATGTTGGTTTCTTCAATGACAACATTAGGTTCGGGTTTTGAAAGTAAAGACACATTATTAATTTCTTCTTAAATCACCATATAGTAGATTTTATTTATACATGGTAGTGGATCCATTAACAAGACTTAAGTTTTATTCACTGAAAACTTATCATTCAAACCTATTAAAAATTGAATGATTTTATCTTTAAGGCAAAATTCGCATGCATATCGCATGGCTTAACATTTGCTTGGGTGAATGCACATACATGTTGAAATAGGTATGTGAAAATTGAACTTTTCCCACAATCCTCTCATCTATGTGAAGTAATCAAGAACATATTTGGATCCTTGCTTGAGGTTGTTGATCTCGACCCAAAGATTAGATCAAAGATACAATCAGTTTGGGTAAAGCTTTCCATGGGATAATTCCATACATCAAGAGTGTTTTCTAAGAACACGATTGTCTAAGCAATTGGAGCATTAACCGAATTCAGAATCCATGAATGAACTAAGCAGTTACATCGTTCCCATGCAATGTGATTCAGATCAGCTAGATTATGAACTGTAAAGGAGGCATCGATAAAGGGAAGCTTGTTCTTGGAGCTAAGAGCACGTTGCATGGAACTAGACCAAGAAATGTAGTTGGATCCATTCAATTTTTGTGTAATGCTAACCGTGTTTGGACCCTTTCTAAGATGAACGTAGTATACATAATCAACATCAGCATTAGTGATTCACTGCACAACTGGAGCAACACGTGGTTGCATGATTGAATTGGTTCGAAAAAGAAAAGAAACAAGATTTGCGGATGCAAATAGAAGGAGAAAAGGATAAACAAAGAAGAAGATGAATCAAGAGATGGATCAACAATTGAATGCGGCTGATACCATATGATGATATGAGAACTCGATTGAACTCATGATGTTAATCATGATGAAGAAGAAAAAGAAAAAAAAGAAGAAGAAGGAAAATAGAGAAAATGGAAATGAATGAGTCCTCATACATTGGCCAAGTGTGCATGTGATATAAATACAACATGTTACTATTTACCGGTAAGTAGCTTAGGATACAAGGAATTCTCCTAACCAACTAACAAACTACAACAACTAATTATAACTGACTTCAACTAACTCTAACTAACTCTCTATGTCACTTAAGAATCAGTTAAGAAGAAGGATAAACTATAAACTAAACATTATAATCTTAGTGACAAACAAACAAAAATTGTTACCAAATATTATTGAGACTAAACCGGATCGATGACTATACAGTTTCTTAGCCGAACAATTGTATCAAGTCTAATCCGATTTTCACAATATTTTGATAAAAATATAGAAAATAATCGTAGAAGTAATTAGACTTATATGCGCGCTTCTAGAAAAACATAAATTGTAGAAGTAATATAGGAAATAGTGATATCTTACAAAATAAAATGCTAGAAATATTATAGAACTTAATTACTAGAAAAGCATAAATTGTAACATTGTATTGATGCAATAAGTAACTATATTGTTCATTCCTTCTTTTTTGGGTCATAGAGTTGTATCTCTCTTCTATTCAGGAGTTGCAAAGGTCTAGCATTCTTCTCCGCATGCTGTCATAAGTAAGAAGTAAGTAAATATTGTAATTGGTACATTATGGTAATGCATATAATTAGGGCAACAAATCAAATTAGAATACTTACATCATGAACAGCCTCCCTAAGTAACTTCACTTGTGCTCTAGAAACACGTCTTATCTGATAATAATCAAAGCTTAAAGGTTCAATGACTTATATTGGCCAATATATATATATAAAACAATTTAACATATAAAATATATATTTTGAATTTTAATTAGTACCCTTTTATTGATAGTCCAAATGACACCTTCAGTGCATGGAGGGACAGTGAGAGAGCCCTTGTATCTGTAATATTTCTTTCCACCAAACTTGATTTTGGAGGGATTAATCACTCCAATACTCATTTCTGCTTCAGTATCCACCAAGGCTTTAATGTATTTTGACAACTGAAATTGTTAAACATATATATAGTTATTCAAATTAAGAATAAATTGTTCTAAAAATAATATTACCTTAATGAGAATAGAATCTGGTCGACCAAATTTATATAGGATCCCAATAACAGCAATCTTGCTTTTCCCATTTATTTTTTGACTTTCGTGTACCAAGTGTAGCTCCACATCATACCTAATATATATTTCAGTCCAAAAAATAAAGAGTATAAATATATATTTTTTAAATTTTAAAGTTGTTGACTTACAAATTAACTTGTTTGCATTAATACAATTAAAAAAATATGGTTAAAGATTAAAATTTGTATTATCAAATCTACACTAATTTAATTCAACTAGCATAAAAATATACTTTTAAAACTCATAAATATTAATAATATTATAATATATTTCTGTAATTTTATTCCAAAATTTAATATTTATGTTTTTTCCCAATTGAGTGATATGTTTAACTATTTTGCATATAAAAATGTATAAATAAAAAAATATAATTGTATTTTTACTAAAAACCTCCATTAATTTTAGTGTATTTATCATAAGAATAAATACAAAATAGAATATACTAAAAGTAAAATTGATATAATAATATTAATTAGAATAAACATTTTTCATTATCAATTTACATTAATTTAGTTAAACTAGCAAAAAAATATACTTTTGAAACTCTTAAATATTAAAAAATAATATAATATATTAGTGTAACTTTATTCTAAAAATTAATATTCATTATTTTTTCAATTGAGATATCTGTTTAACTATTTTACATATAAAAAATGTATAAAATAGAATATATCATTGTATTTTTACTAAAGAAAGCTCATAATTTTAGTTAATCTATCATTACAATAAATACAAAATATAATATATTAAAATTAAAACTGATACAATTATATTAGTTAAAATACATATTGTATATTATGCATTGTATTTTTAATTTAAATGCTCCCATCGAATTAGGCAATTTTGTTTAGTTAGTCTTATGATCAAACCTTCTTTGTTAACAACCCTTGAAAATTCTTCTTGATTCTTGCTATTATATTCTTCTTGATTCTTGATTCTTGATTCTTGATGAAGTGTGTGCTAGGTGTGATTCACTTGTGAATATTGTATTGTTTTAGAATTTATGACATGTATTTTGTATTTAGGAGTTCTTTCGTTTTCATGTTGTCATTATAGGATTGTGGGAAGTGTTTACTTTTCTTGTGCGTTTTTAATTTGAACCACACATTTGTTTTCCATTTTTAAAACCGGTTGATTCGTGATTCTGGGATTATCGTCTTTTGTTTTTTTAAGTTGTTTGAATTTGTTTGAGGACAAACAATATTTCAAGTTGGGGAGATTTTGATGAGTGCTAAATTGTCGTATTTTTTAGTGCGAATAATCAGCACTCATCGACTTAATTCGTTTGATTTTTGTCAATAAACCTCAACTTTAGTATATATTCGGTATAGTTTACGTTATAGTATATATATATATATATATATATATATATATATATATATATATATATATATATATATATATATATATATATATATATATATATATATATATATATATATATATATATATATATATATATATATATATATATATATATATATATATATATATATATATATATATATATATATATATATATATATTGCATTATCGTTTATATATCATTGATTTTAATTAATTTTATCTCATTTTTATAGGTATTAAAGCAATGATATTTAGGAATTGTTAGATAGATCATTGAATAAGTTTTTCAATACTTCTGACAGTGTACAAATCAAAGTTATGGTTCAAAAGTTATGCCTGAAACAATGCTGAAATTTTTTGTTTACCGTCAGTCGTCGCTCCTTGGTCGCCAGGCGACGCTAGGGCGCCCCAGAGGCGTAAAAATGCACTTAAAATTTCTGTTTTGAGCGTCTGGCGATGCTTTTCAGCGCTGGGAGATTGCGTCCGGACAGAAACATGTATTTAAGGCTAAAAACACCTTTTTAGGGATGTGTTGGGTATTTAATTATCTAATTGTTTTATTCATCTACATAGAGATCTCTCTCTTTGATTACAATATAGAGAAATCTCTCTATTGTAGTTGAGTATGTAACCCAAAAAAAAATTTGTTAAACCTATTTTTTGAATTCTATGGGAAAAACTTTATTCGACTAAAATTCTTGAAACATATGTAGTATTAAGTGAAAAAATATGAAAGAATATTGTGAAAGAAAAACAAACCTTCTGCCATTGATGGTATGTTCAGAAGGTGAATGCCAGTGGGCTTGATGTAGAAAATAATCGGTCCCATTAATATTAATTGAACCTGCATCTCCCTCCCATTTCACCTATCATCATATATAAAAAGAATATGAATCTTAATCAAATCTTAAGCTACCAACCAAAAGTACCTTATGTCGGATTAAATTGTGAATATTCCAACTAAATTCTTCTCTCACTCATTACAAGTTTCACTATAAAATTATATGGATATTAGGAAAAATGGCTATATAATAAATTTATAAAAAGGTGTGTATTAATTTTATATAAGTATACAAAAATGAATAAATTTATGACAAATATTAAATTATTATTTACTTATTAGTATGGTTAGGTATTATTTTTGTGACAGCAATGTAATACAATGTAATTCAATATTCATGCAACTATACCATCATGTGCAACTATACCTTATTTATAGAAAAATAAAATCAACCACGACTCGATGTCAGAAAGATTCGTTTGTATATTAATTCAAAGGAAGACAATTGTATATGAAATATTTGTATTAATAATTAATGTTATCTTTAAAATGTCAAATATTTGAGAGAAGTCTTTTATGAATTGGTCAATTAGTATAGTACGTGTTTCCAAGGCAAAGCAACAAATTCAACTTTAGCGTTAATTGCGGGTTTAATTTATAATAAATATATAAATAAATAATATTAATTGAGCGTAAATTTATTTATTGATTCATTCAATCGTTAGAAAAAAAAGAAAGAATCTGGGTTGATTAATTACCTGAATATCATGACCTCTATTTTTGATAGTAGCATTTTGAGGTTTATAATTCTTCTTTAGTTTTCCTAACTTTGAAACTATCCTCACTCTGTGATTTGACAAATCAATTGGAGATTGCATTCTTCCATTTTTACATGCTGCCCATTCCTTATGCAATTCTCCCCAACGTGAAGGACCTTTTTCGCTCCCTTCTATGTAATCAAATTCACTCTCATCCTCTGCACAAATACATAGATCTCAGACTATACTCAAATCATTAAATATAATATATATGAAATACTTCTTAATGATGAGGAAATTAAAATTTGATGTTGCTTACCAACTTCTTGTGCTATGGTCCATTTTGTTGAAATGAGAAGGATAGTTAGTAGTATTAGAAGATTTGAAAGGAACTTTGAGAGTATTTTTTGGTTTTTCATTTTGGTTTCAACCAAAAGGGGTGGAAGATTTGGAATTGGAAAACTTGAAATGATAATGGAAGAGGATAACGAAGAATGATATTTTATAGAAGGAAGGGTAGTGAATACTTGGAATATTTGGTGAGAGAAAGTGAAACTTCCTAGTTAATCCAAATTTGAATCCTTTTGTGTTTTTTCAACTTTATTAATTTTTAATTTTTATTTTTCTTTCATGAATACAATGATAGGTTATCCATTTTATTACTCCCTCTTGTTATCTTTATTATAAGAGAAATTTTAGTTTTTAGATTTTTTTAATGCTCAATGTATCTGGACCATATCTAGATCAAATATATTGATCATTTCATGAATTTAAAAGTGATTTTTTTTTATAATAGGAATCAAAGAGAGTATTATATTTAAGAATAGAAATATTTACCTGTAATAGAACAAATTTGGATGTTTCGACATGAGCGAGTTCTTTTAATTCGGTGACATGAGTATGTGGTGCGGTAGAACAGAGGTGTGTCTGAAAGATTAGCACTCAACACTAAAGTCATTGAAGTTAGATAGATGTTGTTTTTAAGAGTAAGAGTAAATCAATAATTGTGATGACGTGTGACAGAGTTTTTATATGTAGATGGTTAAAATTGACTTTGTTAATCTGACGGGTTGTGCGAGGAGTCGTTCCATCATATCTAACAATTGACGACGCATGAATAGCAAGGATCAAGTGTCAGGCTTTTTAACAAGGTTTTACCTATTTGCCCATCTTTTGAGATGAAGCTCTAGATTGGGCTCTCGTGATTTTTACTAATTCTATGGGCTTTTGGTCGGCTTGAAACAGTTGTATCTAAAGTCTTTGTTGTTGTACACTAAAATTCGCCCTCTTATTGTCTTATACTTCATCATCATATGCATTCATACATGTCATAGGGTCTATACTCATGGGATCAAGGGTTTTCTTTGTGAAAAGAACTACGAAAGATGATTGCTCCGTTAAGCAACATTGTAAAGCAAACTCAGAGTTTTTTGCATTTAAGTGAACGTCGCACGTGTTCCAAGCTATCCAATCAAGGATTAATTGAGTCATCATCATATAAAGCTCTCATGCGTTCTAACACGCTTTGAATTGCGCAGAAAGTCAAGCGTTTCAATCGATTTGAGACAGTGTAGACAAAAATTCAGTATTTTGTAGTTCGAGTTCAGAAATTCATAACTTGAGACCACAAAATGGTTTGAAAATGATTCTTCATCCTTTAGAACCATCTGGAGATCTTCTCCAATTCATCTTTTCATATCGAAGGATAATTTTATGAGGTAGATTTTCAAAAGCGCAAAATACCTGGAATATGTTATACAGTGGATTTGCTGGTTCGTTGGTTTTCCGGGTGCTTAAAAATTTGTAACTTTTGACTGAAAAATCATCTTTGAGTGGCTCTTGGAGCATTTGAATTGTCTTGTTATTTCCTTCAATTTTTTTGTTTGGCTCGGGAGCCAATTCATTGATGAAGATCTTCGGATGTGTGAATACTCTGAAGATGTACGGTGAAAATACAATGAAAATAGTGTGTTGAACCACTGTTTATCGGACGTTCAAAAATTCATAACTTTCGCCCAGTTTAATGTTTTTGAGTGATTCTCTGGGCATAAAATCCGTCTTGATTTTATCATCAATTCGTATGTTCGGGTCAGAAGTTAATTCCTTGCAGAAGATCTCCAAAATTGCGAATTAATTAAGAAAATTGTACCCTGAAATGGTTTTCTACCAGACTATTTCTCGATATTGTAAAAATCGTAACTCTCTCGATTTTTATCGTATCTGGACGATTCTTGAAGCGTAAAATCAAAAATTTTGTTAACTAAAACTTTGCTTCAGGTCTCGAGTTCAGAGTGTTCTTCGAAGGCTTCGGTTTATGGCTCGCTTCCTAAAGTGCGCATGAAAATAAGCTGAAATTTTCAATACAGCAAAATAAGTCCAATGTTTTTCGCCATTCAAAAAATCATAAGTCTCTCGATTTTTATCGTATCAGGACGATTCTTTTGGCATGACGTCATAAATTTCGTCGCTGGCGATTTTGTTTCAGGTTACGCATCAGGATTATGTACCGAAAGTCATGAGCTTGTGGTTTATTTTCGAACAGTACAAAAAATAAGCTGAAAAAAATCTGCACAGTGAATTTTAATAGAGTTCTCGCCATTCAGAGCATCGTAACTCACTCAATTTTATTATTGTATCGGGACAATTCTTTAGGCACGACATCACAAATTTCGTCACCGACGATTTTTTTTCAGGTTTCACGTCAGGATTATGCACCGAATGTCATGAACTTAGGGGTTCGATCTCGACTGGTACAGGAAATAAGCCAAAAATCCAGCATTTGTCAAAATTACACAAGCCAAACAAGACTTGGAGCCGATTATCTATATTTTTAAAATTCAAATTCAACATAATTTCTCACTCATTATTTCAAAATCTCACACAAAAACTCTCAATTCTCTCTCAAATTCTCTTAACTCTCAAAGGGAAAACTCAATGAAAGTTCCAAGCTCCTCCCTCACTCACTGCCGGAACCACCACCATACCTCTCTCTCTTCTCCCGCTCCACCCATGCACTGCTGCTCCTGGCCGAATTCCCTCTGTCGCCCTCCTTCATTGTTTGTGATGCATCTTCCTTCTCTCTCTGTCGCGCGAACATAGCTCCCTCTAGCCTCCTTCATTTCGCGTTCGTTTCAACTTCTCTGGTCTACTTTTCGGTAATAATTCTTGAATTTTCAATTGATTAAGTGCTTATTGTTTAATTGATTTTAGGATAGGTGCTTATGTGATTTAATTTGAGTTGAACATTAATTGAATTCTTTAGATGAGTGATTAATTGATGATGATGATGTTGAAGTGTGGAATCGGATAATTGATTTTTGAATTGTTATAGATTTTGAGAATATCATTATGTTGATGAATTTGTCATGTCGAAGTGTGAATTAATTTACATGATTATTGAGTTTTGTGAAGAGAATTATTTTTTTTCACGAGTTAATGCAATTTTTAATCGATTTATTGATGAATTCACTTTTTCAATGTAAAAAAAAAAACCTCAAATCCGATAAATTGAATTAACACTTGAACAAGTTTGTTTCAGGCTTGTAATCATTGCTTGCATGAGGAATGATTTGTTACATAGTGATCTTACCGGTTGATCAGAATCCGCAAGGTGGCCGGATGATGATCTTTAGATGGGCTGGAAAGTCGATGAGGAAAATGGGGATTATACCTGCAAGACACTCCGACGATTAAGTAAGTGTGGGAGCAAAAAGAGATGCAAGAAAAATATTAGGGTTTTAGTGGTGAATAGTCAATATTCGATACTTGGCCCTCACATGAGTGAAGGTTTATATAGTGCCACTGGAACTTAGCCATTGGTCCCTATATTTAGGCCTAGATATGCGGGTCCACAAAAATAGGTGACTGCTAGGACTTAGTCAAACCAGGAAGGTGTGCTTGAAACTAGTCGTTAGCTTCAAGGAGGAGGTAGGTTACGGGCAGCGGTCTGGTCGGTTCTTGGTTGTCTGGCCGACTTGAGTTTGGGCAGACTGGGAGGTGCTCGTTGATTATCGTAGGTAAGTGCTGGTCCGGGAGGATAAACAATCAATGATGCCCGACGGAGGGAAGGGAGCCTGGGTCTTGGTCGCACAGGCCGTGCCGAAGAAGGAGGTCAGACCATTCCCATTATATCCGTTGGGCCAGTCCAGAACAGTAGCCCCCCAAGTTGTTACTTCTGGGCATATGAGTGATGACTTTAACACTTGCTCGTGGAATAGGGTGCTTCTTACGGGGAACGTGAGCATCGTCTGTTGTGCATTTATCGCGGGAGATGATTAGTTGGTCGTTTGAGCTTCAAAAATTGAAGAGGTAGTGTGTTTTGGGTAGTGTGTTGATTCAGTGGTGCAATGATGGCCTAGGGGCTAGGGTGCAATGATGACGGTCCTACAGTTCCCTGGGCGTGTGTCTCTCACGCGCGGGCTACTTTAGCTATAAATATAAGAGGAGTAGGGAATTCTGTATTTTTCATTCTTCTCCCGCATTGCTTGTTATTACTTGCTATAGCGGTAGAAATGTTGAGATTAAACCATTGGATTGACTTGAATCGCACAGATCAAATAAAAATCACCACTGCTCTTTATTGTTTCTAGAGGAATTGGAAAAGAGCGAATAACAGAAAAAAAGAGGGGGAGAGAATCTAGGTACGGGGGTTGGTTATGCAAAAGGAAGATATTAGAACCCTAAACATCTACGATACTCTACAGGAACCTCTTTGAAAATTTGTGTATTTTGGCTATAAATGTTGTATACAAAATTAGATGGTGGAGATGAAAAGAGAAGTATTTTTTACAATTTTGCACCCGCCGCGGTTGCAAATCTTTAGTGCCTATGTACCACCTTTCGTGCAATAGGGGATCAGGGTACTCACGGTTCTCCTTTAAGATTAAAAAAAAACAAGTGTGTTGATTAATTTTAAGAGAAGAGACATCATTGTCTTATCCGAGTGGAAAAACATACTTACTATCCACGATTATAAGAAAGGATAATTTGCATCATCTCAAAGTGAAGGATATAGCTTGGATTTAAAAATCAACAAAGCCTCACTCAACACCCAAGTGGAAAATATCTCACTTCACTACATATCGTAGAAGTATAGTAGCTCACATCACTACAAGGATTGACAAGAATATAGTCCTTTTAGAAAATTTTAAAGTAAAAATCCAAAGTGGCAAAATTGTTTGAATGAGATTAATTGACTTTTAGTCTTCTCACAAAATTGTCAAAATATGATTAAGTTGATTAAAGTTTAATTAAGAAAATGTTTTCAAAAATTCATGGACATAAGTCCAAGTTTATTGTGAAAGCGGTTGAAATTAGAAAACAAGAAGAGTTTTGGAAAGGAGGGAGAATATTTTTGAAATTCAAGAAGATGGGAGAAGATGAAGGGACTATCCTAAAGCATAAGGTAAAAGCTAGGGAA